ATCAAAAGAATGTTCCTAAAATTACTAATTCGTAACAATATAATGTGCAACATTTAAGATAAATTACTAAAAACTTATATCGTTAAACTTGCATAAAATTTCCGTTTATTCACTTGCTCTTTAAACATGCTTTTAATAAAAAGAATTCCATATCAATTAGTTAAAGCAAATTTTTTCTCAGTTTACTGAAATATTATTAAAGAGATTTTGTTCTTTAATTTAATGTTTAAATTATCCCATCTTCATCCTTCTAGAAAATACTTTGCTTAAAAAAAAATTAAGCTTAAAAAGACTGTAAACGGGAAATGGAGCTCAATTTCATAACTAAATGTACTTACATTAACTGACCTGATAGAAACATTAGTTTTTTCATGACTTTTATTCTTCAAAAATCAAAAGTTTAATGAAAAAGAAATTAAAAAATTTTTGTTCAGAGCAGTAAAATTGGAACTTAATTTCGTAAAAAATCGAAACAAATACAATAACTGAGCTGCTAGAAACACTTTGCTTTTATTATTGAACAAACGAAAGTTTTATAAAGAAGTAATGGAATATTTTCTTTGAAAACGGTTAAAAATTTAAACTAAGTTTTGTAATGAATCGTAGAAAGTACAGTAAACGAACTCTTAAAAACATCAGCTTTTCCATTGCTTTTATTCTTGTAAAAAACCAAAAATTTTATGAAATAGAACTTTCTGAGTTTTATTCTTGAAAAAAATTAAAGTTTATTGAAGAAGAAATAGAAAATAAAAAATTTTGAGAACAGTAAAATTAAAATTCAATTTCGCAAAGAAACTAAACAATTACACTAACTGAGCTGCTTGGTTTATTCATTGCTTTTATTATTAAAAAAGTTTTATGATGAAGAAATGTAATATTTTCTTTGAAAACCAAAAAAAATTGAAACTTAATTTTGTAAAGAAACGAAACAATTACAATAGTTGAGCCGCTAGAAACATCAGTTTATTCATTACTTTTAATTATTGAAAGAACGAAATTTTCCTGAAGAGGAAATGGAATATTTTCTTTGAAAACAGAAAAATTGAAATTCAATTTCGTAAAAAAACATAGAAATTACATTAACTAAGCAACTAGAAACGTCTATTTATCCTTATCCATTACATTCATCATTGGAAAAATATGAAAGTTGTTTAAAAATATATAGAATATTTCTACGAAAATAGAAATATTGAAGCTCAATCTTGTAAGAAACGAAGAACTTACAATAACTCTGAGTTGCTAAAAACATCAGTTAATACATTGCTTTTTTTCATTAAAAAGTAATAAAACGTAAGTTTTATTAAAAATAAATGCAATGTTTTCTTTGAAAGCGGTAAAATTGACTAAATCATCGCAATAGTCCGTTCTTTGCACAATTTATTTGTGAGGAGGATAAATTTCATGAACAAGAAACAGGAGATGTAGTTTCAAAATAGATTTTGTGAAAAACCGAAAAATTCGCCGACTGTGTTGTTAAAGCAATTTGCTTGATTGTTGTATCGTAAATAAAATATGCTTCGAATACACGACCCCAGATGGGGTCGCAACGCATAATTTAAAAAGAATTAATCAACATACGATGAGAAGTAAGTAACATCTTCAACAGAAGTTAAAAACCTTGAATTAATCCTTGAAACCAACAATCATGCCTCCTTTTACCCTCGATCTTTGATGTTCAAAACAATTAATATAATAATTATTATTAGGATAAAGAAAGCTTGTTTATATGAATAACCATATCGTTAAAGAATCAACTTATTCCGTTTATATATTATTAGCAAAATGGCTTTACCGAAAGAACAATTGAAAATAACAGATGAGCAGTATTTGAGTCGTGCTTCTTCATTCGCAAGGATAAATGAAATCCAAAATCTTAATCCATCTTTTCAAGGTAAAAAAGTTTTTGATGCATTGAATTGGTATTGAATGGAATAAATACGGCATTCTTAATTATCTGCAATATTTTTCATTTAATTTTAGAATCGTGGAGAATACGACTCAGAATCGAAGATTAACCTCTTCTCCTTGCCAATTTTTTCGAAGAAAAAAATATGAAAAAAATCAATATATTTTTTTAGTTTATTAATAAATACAAGGAACTAAAACAAAACATAATACACAAATTCTAAGCTGAAATTGTAATTTTTTTGCGTTTAAAAAATATTTAATTTACCATGAATTTCTTATCCCAAATTATCTCGGGCAAAGTTAAATGTTAGTCTTTGTATATCGCTCATGGGCTGCAATAGTGGCACAACTCAAAGAACACGCGTTTTGGACTAAGAACAGATGTAAATAAAAAATATACATACTTTTCAGCGGCAATACTAGCACAACTTATAATTTAACTTGAAGGTAATCTTCATTCAAGCACACTAAAGCATTTCTTATGCATTTTCCTTAGCAATGAAAACTTTGAACCCACTTATCTCAAAACTTGATGTTTTGAATGTGCCGCTATTACAGCCCATGAGTGATATGTTCATATCTTCATAATCTGAAAAATCATCGGCATTACTTTCATTTTCGTTCGCGAGCGCCATTTTTTTACTCTTTTTTCGATGTAAATTCATCAACCATTGTATATACAATTATACAAAACACGTCTGCAGTCCCACAAATAGCAAAACTCTCAAATAAAACTTGGCAAATTATGGCATTATTATGGAAAACTTGGCATTATTAATCTCTTTTTTTTTTTGCTTCCGACCGAATAAAAACGTGATAAAACAAAACGTATTAACGAATTCTACCATGCCCGAGTATACTCGGGATAATAAATATTTGCAATATATACATACCCGAGTTAACTCGGCATAATCAGGGAAGCGGTTAAAAGTATTCTCGAACCTTTTTCGAATTTTTCCAGTTTCCAAATCAATCACTTAAATTAGAAATTTTTTATATCAAAGCACTTTACTGACTATTCAAACAAAATTTTTCGAATAATAAGGATTAAACAACATTTCATAGGCATTAAATAATACATAGTTTAATTTAGATTCATTTATTCAGATTATGATAGTTTACTATGTTAATTGATTTGAAAATGTTACATCATCTTTAATAAATCTTAACTTACTTTTAAATGTACTAATATCAGATGTAATATTAGATGTGGTAAATTAAGAACTAGTATATTAACTTGAATACTTGAAATAGAGGTTTTTAAAATTTCAAAGACTTCTTGATACTTTTTTCATTATTTTGTATTAATTTAGGTAAATAAGTAAAAAAATGATGTGCCTAAATTTTAATGATTTATGGTTATGAAGCACCGGTGTTAAAGGTAAAATCTCCAAGACACGGCTCACTTCAAAAACAATACCTTTTTTTAAAATTTGTAGTTATTTAGATCAAAACAGATAGAAACAGTTATTCATCAGTGAATTTTCTTTAATTTACAAAATCCATTATTGATAAATTTTTGAATATGAATTTAAAAAATTTCATACTACTTTTTTTTATAATTCTATATTTTAGTACTCGTATAATTCTGATAATGTAATAGATTTTTCTTAAAAATTATTAGACTGTTTTTTACAATTACGAAATACCAAAATATATTTTTGCTGGCAATTAGAGCATCCAAAAAAATTTTTAAAAAAAATGGACAGTGGTGTCCCATCTACATCAAATGGTTAAGAAGGCTGAAATTTAGTTGGCTCCTTACATTTTCCATGTCCGTTATTTTTTTAAACTTTTTTTTCATATTCTCTGAATCTACCCAATTCAAGAGTTTTACATAACATTCTTTGGACAAATGTTTTTTTATTTTTCTAGATGGTAGGAGTCTTGCAAACTTCTGGTGAAATATATGAACCTACCCCCATTCAGTAACTTCTGTAATTTTATTCTGTAATTTCATACATTTTAAATAAAATTCTGAAAAGCGAATTTTGGTCGTTATCGTAAATTTCCATTTTAGCAACTTTTCTAATGTTGTTATCACTTCGTATTTACTTGAAACTGTATTTTCAGCTCTTAGAGGAACGTCTATGAGTTTTGAATAGAAGTGATGCATCATCTTTTTTTTTTAGTTTTGAATTTTTGGAAATCATTGTAACTAGGATTTTTTGTTCAGTAATATTTAACAAAATGACTTGCTATTGAAAGGGATACTACATTACCTGAAACGTTAAAATTTACTAATTAATTACCTTATTAAGCGCTATCAAAATGCCCTACAAGCAGTAGCACTCTGCCTACAATTTTTATTGGAATAAGCCTAATGAATAGTATCAGTAGTTTGCCAGAAGACGGATTTTTCAATTATCCTTAAGAGATACAAACGCTGTCCAGTTTATGATCATTAGAGATAAAAATTAAAACCTTAAAACTATTATAAACACGTCTTTTGAAGTAAGTGAATGCTGATTTCATCCGCCTACAGAGGGGTCAATTTAAAAGTATATTTCTTATTTGATTTCTGTTTATTACCAATTAATTGCCTTACTAAAAACTATAAACGCTATCGAAATGCCCCACACGCAGCAGCACTTTGCCTACAATTTTTATTGCAATAAGCCTAGCGAATAGTATCTGTAGTTTGCCAGAAGACGGATTTTTCAATTATCCTTAAGAGACACAAACGCTGTCCAGTTTATGATCATTAAAGATAAAAATTAAAACCTTAAAACTATTATAAACACATCTTTTGAAGTAAGTGAATTCTGATTTCATCCGTCTACAAAGGGGCCAATTTAAAAGGATATTTCTTATTTAATTTCAGTTTATTAGTTGATAGATTTTTTAGATATTTGTACATATTTTAACAATTATTTTTCTTGTGTGAATTAACTATCGAATTCTATGAAGCTATTTAAAAAAATGTAAAGATTTGAAAGGTTAAGTAAAAACGTAAGACTTTGAAAAAAGTAGTAACCCCCCCCCCCCCCAAAAAAAGGCTGGCAATATTACGAGGCCTTTGGAAGCTTAGGTAAAAAACTTTAAAACTCTACTAAACCCTTTAAAATAAGACTTAGTTTTGTTTCTTGCAGCCAAAGGAAAGAAAGGTTTAGTTGACATCATTCAAGCAGGAACCAGAAAAATATGGGATAAAAAAGTTCCTGGAACTCAGATGGAACAGTTACAGAATGTCATTCAAGACAAATATGGAGTCAAATTTGGTAATTATTTAAATTATGATCCTGTCTTCCATTTTGCAGTCGATAATTATTTTTGCATAAAAGTTTAAAACTTATTAAGAAAATGAGGCAATGAAAATTCAGTTAACACTAGATTGCCTAAGGAAGTCATTTTGGCTGATTAATTTCAATTAGAAAAATA